GGCTCCATGATAAACTACGTCTATGAAATGTGAATAGGTATGATATAAAAAGGGGTTCTGGGCCTGGCGCAGTGGCTCGCACCTGTAATCCCAGCACTTTGGGAGGCCGAGGCAGGCAGATTGCCTGAGCTCAGGAGTTCATGACCAGCTGGGCAACAAGATGAAACCCTGTCTCTCCTAAAGTACAAAAAATCAGCCAGGCACGGTGGCGGGCACCTATAGTCCCGGCTACTCAGGAGGCTGAGGCAGGAGAAATGATTGAGCTTGGGAGGTGGAGGTTGCAGTGAGCCGAGATTCTGCCACTGCATTCCAGCCTGGGTGACAGAGTGAGACTCCATCTCTACAGAAAAAGTGGGGTGGGGTTCTGGCCAGGTTCAATAGCTCATGCCTGAAATTCCAGCACTTTGGGAGTCCAAGGCCAGGGGATCACCCAAGGTCAGGAATTAGAGATCAGCCTGCCCAACATGGTGAAACCCCATCTCTACTAAAAATACAGAAATTAGCCAGGCGTGGTGGCACACACCTGTAGTCCCAGCTAATCGAGAGGCTGAGGCAGGAGAATTGCTTAAACCCAGGAGATGGAGGTTGCAGTGAGCTGAGCTCTCACCACTACACTTCAGACTCGGTGACAGAGGGAGACTCCATCTCAAAACATTAAAAAAATTTAAAAATTAAAATAAATAGAAAAGGGGTTCTGAGATCCAGGAAAATTAGGAAACCCTAAATTAACAAAGCCAAAGTCTTTTTACTAAATGTAAGGCCAGTTGCCTCGCAGGGGGCCAAATGGACACACCCATTCCTCTCCATACCGGATTCTGAGCGCATTACTCAGCATCTGGCCTCTCCATGTGGGCTCCCCACACCCATTTTCGCATTCCAATCTCAGTCCTGCACTCATCAGCAAACTAGGCACTCGGCCCCTCCGAAATTTAAAAAATCCTGCGGAGACCTGCCTTATGGCAACTTGCCCCGTATGTCCTAATCCAGCCCACTTGCCAGCAGCCCCGCCTGGCTGCCAATGGCTGCTCGCCTCATCCGTGCCCAGTCCCTTCATAACCAATGAGACTACCTCCGCTTTGTTTCCCCCGCAGCCAATCAACTACCTCCACTCCCTCTACAACCCCACACCCTAAGAAGAGAAGCGCTACTTCTCTGGCCCCTTTCCCGGACCATAGAACCTCACCCGGGAGCTGAATAAATTGGCTTTTACTTCTTTACTCTGGTCTCTGTTTCCTCATTTAACTTGACAATAAGCCTTACACTAAACAACTTCTCACTCTTCAATGTGTTTATGTGTCCTGTAAATCTCCAAGAGCAAGCTCTGACACAGCATTTTGCAACTGTTCGTTCATTAGGGACCATCTCTCCCCCAGGAGTCTTTTTAGACAATTTTACTAATCACCCTTTCCTTCCTTTCCACTCTCCCCCAAAATTAAATACTAAGGAATAGATTTTACTGGGGGGCCACAAACCATTGTACTAAGAGTCTTTGCCCCTTAAGAACCATTTCACCCCTTTGGGGATGATATCACATCAGTTGAGAAGCATGACCTAGTGTTAAATGCTTCTTGTATTAGTCTGTTCTCACATTGCTCTAAAGAAATACCTGAGGCCAGGTGCAGTGGCTCATGCCTATAATCCCAGCACTTTGGGAGGCCGAGGTGGGTAGATCACCTGAGGTCAGGAGTCTGAGACCAGCCTGACCAACATGGTGAAACCCTGTCTCTATTAAAAATACAAAAATTAGCTTGCTGTCATGGTGGGCACCTGTAATCCAAGCTACTCAGGAGGCTGAGGCAGAAGAATCGCTTGAACCTGGGAGGCAGAGGTTGCAGTGAGCTGAGATCACAGCATTGCACTCCAGCCTGGGTGACATGAGTGAGACTCCGTCAAGAAAGAAAGAGAAAATAAAAGAAAGAAAAAGAAGGAGGAGGAGGAAGGAAGGAAGAGAAAGAAAGGAGGAAGGAAGAGAATGAAAGGAGGAAGAAAGAGAAAGAAAGAGAGAGAGAGAAAGCAAAGAAAAAAAGAAAAGAAAGAAAGGAGAGGGGAGGGAGGGGAGGGGAGGAAGAAAATACCTGAGACTGGATAATTTATAAAGAAAAGAAGTTTAATTGGCTCATGGGTCCATAGGCTATACAGGAAGCATGGCAGCATCTGCTTTTTGCAGAGGCCTCAGGAAACTTAAAATTATGGTGGAAGGCAAAGGGGAAGCAGGAACATCTTAGATGGCCAGAGCAGGAGGAAGAAAAGAGAGTGGGGAGGTGCTACACAGTTAAACAACCAAATCTCACGATAACTCACTCACTATCACTAGAACAGCAAGGAGGGGATGGAGCTAACTCATTCATGAGAACTCCACCCCCATGATCCAGTCACATACCACCAGGCCCCACATCCAACACAGGAATTACAATTCAACAGGAGATTTGGTGGGAACATAGATCCAAAGTATATCACTTCTCAAACTCATTTGACCACAGACTTTTTTCAACTGGACCAGTGTTCCCAGGAACATACTATGGGAAGCCCTAATTTAGTTAGTATGGGATATTTTAACATTTCATTGGTCTCTTCTGACTCAGAGGCAGAGAATTCTTTTTAATACTTAAATTCCTGGTAGAAGACTATTATAAGGAGAGGAGTTTTATAAAAGGCTTGTTGATTGAGAAAACTTATATCTGCCACCGTTCTCCCCTCTGGCCATCATTCCCAGTTTGGGGTGAGAATTTTATATTAGTCAACTTAAAAAAAATTATGGTATAATATACATAAAGTGTATAATGTGCTCTAATCTTAATACAGCTTGATAAATTTTCATGGGTGAATACTGAAGGAAACCAGATTCTGTCACATCAAAATATGCCTTTTTGATTTTTTTTTTTTTTTTTTTTTAGCTAAAGGCAATTAAGAAGCAGATGTAGGGAGCACTCTGCCTTCTTTTTGTTTGACTAAAAGCAGGACAGAGAATTACAAAGACAAAAGTTCTTTCTCTTCACCCACCCTGCTTTCCCGCCTAAAGATAGGATGTAAATTCTTCTTTACAGCCTTTATCAGCTTAGAGACAGCACCAGAGGAGTCGGAGCAGACTTTACTCCATTGGTTTCCCCATCAATTTACCTTCCTACATTTTCCCACCTCTAGGAGCTTGGGACTGCTTTTCCTTTGTCTTGTTAGGTTTCTAAAATGTATTGTGCTATGTTAGACGTACTATATAAGCCAGGCTCTTAAGCTACTGCTTAGAGTTACCTTTCTCCCACATTATGTATACTGCATGTGTTGTTAAACTTGCTTGTTTTTCTCTTGTTAATCTGTCTTTTATTGCAGGAGTCTGTCCCAACTATAAACTTATGAGGGTTGAGGGAATACTATTTTGTATTCCTGTCAATACACACCCAGTTCAGGATATAAGCACTGAATTATTGATCAGAAAACCTGATCAATATGAATCATTGCGGCTCGGCCCGGTACCTGCTGCCATGCACCTGGGAGGGATGCTGAGCTGTGGGCTGACACATGGCCACTGTGCCCCTGGACCTGGTCAAGTGCCACATGCAGGTGGATCAGAAAACCTTAAAAAAATCCTTGCCTTCCCATCATCCACATAATGTAGTACGTAGCTTTCAAACTTTAGTGAAGAATCCACCTATGAGTGTATTAAAATCACTTATTTCTACTCACAGAGATTCTCATTCAGACAGTCTAGAGTGTGAGCTGAGATTTTTAATAAAGCACTCCAGGTGATTCTGATGCAGGTGGTCTGTGAATCACACTTGTGAGAAACATAGGCCTGCCCTACAGGATAAAAGTCAAAGTCCTGAGCAAGACATTAAGGCCTTTCGTAATTCTATCCAATTTTATTTTTCCAGGCTCAACCCTTGCTGATTTCTATCATACTGAATTAATCACCTCTCCTCAGTAGGAAATGCACTTGGTTTGTTTCCTTTAACCTGAAATTGCCTTTCTATTCTTTTTTATGTGGCAAACTCCTACTTATCCTTCAAGACTCAGCTACACTGTCACTTCCTCAGGGAAATCTTCTGAACCTTATCAGGCAACATTAGTTGCTCCTTCACTGTTCATCTAGAACTTTATTCAAATTCTGTTCTAGGCTGGGCATGGTGGCTCATGCCGGTAATCCCAGCACTTGGGGAGGCTGAGGCAGGCTGATTACTTCAGGTCAGGAGTTTGGGACCACACTGACCAACATGGTGAAACCCCATCTCTACTAAAAACACAAAAATTAGTCGGGTGGGGTGGCATGTGCCTGTAATTCCAGCTACCCGGGAGGCTAAGGCAGGAGAATTGCTTGAACCCAGGAGGCAGAGGTTTCAGGGAGCCAAGATCACACCACTGCACTCCAGCCTGGGAGGCAGAGTGAGATTCTGTCTCAAAAAAACAAAGAAAAAACAAATTCTGTTATAGTACTTATCAAAATGTTGGGTTTTTTTTCTTTAAAAAAATCTTGTTTAGAAGTAAGCAGGAGTGTGTCTGGTTCTTTGCCGAGCCTCCAGCCCTGCACAGTGGTCAGCACCGAGTGGGTAAAGGAATGGATGATGTATGCTACTGATTTATACCTGGAGTCATTTAGTTCTCATTTTTCAGGCCAATGAAACTGCAAGCTTCCCAAAAGAATAGGGCTTTTGACTCACTTTCATATTCTCCAAAATCAGTAGTCAATAAAAAGAAAATACCTGGCAAGTGAAAATAATCAGCACACCCTCCTCCTAAACTCAGCGAGTGCTCCATGCTTCCTAGGCTCCCACTACAACCGTCGTTGGGAGACAGGAGTCGTGTGTGAGCTGGAGGAAACTGTCACCTACCTGCTAGGAGGCGGGAAGCCACAGGCTGTCTCTGCGCATTCGCACCATGGAACGCCGCTGCCATGGAGATGACCATTCCCCTAAACCGGCATAGTTGGGTAAGGACTTGAGAAAGGCCTCTCAGGAAGGCAACAGTGCATGGCGACTCTTCATCCTCTCACCTACCTCCTCATCTACGTACTCGCCTATTCCTGCGTTTACTCGTGTTTGTACTTGTTGGTTTATTTTCTTCGCATTTTTGTAGAGGACTAGGCAGCCGAGCTGGACCAAAGTCACCAGGGTAGTAAAGACCCGGCCCACCACCCAAAGTGAGCTCTGGGACCACTGAACACTGGCCAGGTGCGGCGGGGGCGGGTTCCTGCAGCTACCAGGAGCCCATTGGGCTGAAGGGGCAAAGGGGCGGGACGTGCTGGAGGCGGGGGGGAAGGGGCGGGGCAACACCGCCTACTTAAACCGTCGGGTCACGCAGCACACCGCGCAGGTGCAGGCTGAAGCACTGTGGGTCGGCTGGTCTGCTCTCGCCTGGACCGTTGGGTGGGCGGTCTCACGGAGGCGGTTCAGGGCAGGGTGTGCCTGCACACAGCGGGGCCATGGTTGGCCCTGGCGGCCGCCGTGCGCTGCAGGCAAGAAGCGTGGGCCGAGGCGGCTGCCAGCTGTGGACGGCGGCCGTGGAGGAGGCCAGCGTGGAGTACGGCTCCGCGCAGTACCTGCTGCTGTGCGGCTTGGGCGGGATGCTGAGCTGCGGGCTGACGCACACGGTCATTGTGCCCCTGGACCTGGTCAAGTGCCGCATGCAGGTGGACCCCGGCCGGTACAAGGGCATCCTGAGCGGCTTCGGAGTGACAGTGCGCGACGACGGGCTGCGCGGCCTGGTCCGCGGCTGGGCCCCGACCTTCTTCGGCTACTCTGTGCAGGGCTTCTTCGAGTTCGGCCTCTATGAGGTCTTCAAGATCCGCTACGCGGAGCTTCTGGGCCCAGAGAAGGCCTACGCTTGGAGAACTGGCCTGTACCTGGTTGCCTCGGCCAGCGCCGAGTTCTTTGCCGACATCATGCTGGCGCCCATGGAGGCAGTCAAGGTCCGCGTGCAGACGCAGCCAGGCTACGCCAGCACCCTGCGGGCCGCGGCGCCCAGGATGTACGGCGAGGAGGGCCTGTGGGCCTTCTACAAGAGCGTGGCGCCGCTGTGGCTGCGGCAGATCCCCTACACCATGATGAAGTTTGCCTGCTTCGAGCGCACAGTGGAGGCGCTCTACAAATACGCGGTGCCCAAGCCCCAGAGCCAGTGCACCAAGGCCGAGCAGCTGGGCGTCACCTTCGTGGCCGGCTACATCGCCGGCGTCTTCTGCGCCATCGTGTCCCATCCCGCTGACTCGGTGGTGTCCGTGCTGAACAAGGAGAAAGGCAGCACGGCCCTGGGCGTCCTCCGAAGACTGGGCTTCGTGAGCGTGTGGAAGGGCCTTTTCGCGCGCATCCTCATGATCGGCACCCTCACGGCCCTGCAGTGGTTCATCTACGACCTGGTCAAGGTGTATCTCAAGCTGCCTCGCCCTCCTGTGGCACAAGCGCCCGAACCCCTGAAGAAGAAAAAGTAGGCGTTGTGAGCCGTTGTAGACACAGTGGGTCCAGATTTCCATCAAGTAGGGAATCACATGCACACAGCGGTAGTGTGTAAGATGTTAACATTTTGGGGAGAGGTTACTTAATATGCGGTCTGAGTTCTCTTTAAATGACTGATTGCTTCTTTTTGGCAATTCCAGAGGATTGCAAACGTTTCGTTTGGAGGTTTGAACCATTATCTTTGGGGAATTAGCATGGATGCTTTAACTCAATAGCTCTTCAGCAATTAAAAGGAAGAAATTCTTAACAGGAAGTCATGTTAGGTAGTTTAGGGTCTCTAGGTGTTATCTCCTTTGATTCGACCTTTCAGTAGAGATTATCCAAGCCTAACTACTGAATAGCTTACAAATGAGGTTTTAAGGTCAGCACAACTATATGGATGGGGGAACAAAGTGAGATTCTGGTACATGGTATTCATCTCAATAGAAATCCCCTACACCTATTGAATAGATGAAGGAGGACTCATCGCGTATTTCCTGTTCATGTCCATTACAGGTAAAAATTATTAAAAGTTAAATTGTGACTTATACTGCCTGGTAGCTTAGAATGTATTCACTGTTTTCAAAGAGACATGAGAAGATCTGCATTTTCTCCTTTTGCTTTGTTCCTTCTCTTCCTGATGTTGCTGATTAGAACATAGCTCTCTCCAGGAAGTGCTGCAATTGGGTCAATGTGGAAAGCCAGAAAGAGATGAAGGGCAGGCTCTGGGAATAAATATGTAAAGAAAAGCCTCTGTTCTCCAAAGATTTCTTTTGTATAACTCAGCTTTCAACAGCCATACATCCAAAGAAGACCATACCACCCTGACGTTAAAAAAAAAAAAAAAAAAAATGAAGAAAAAACCCCAAACCCTGCAAAGTCCAACTACTGTCTGTTGAATGTTAAAGAATGGTTTTGGTGACTTTGGAGGGAAAATCTCACGTTAAGTATAGTAAATGCTCTTCACTTAATTTGGCAGATGTTTCAGTGATCTTTAAAATGGTTGAGATTCATAAAATTTGTTGAAATTATAAAGTATGTTTTTGGGTCTCTGTAGCCTTCACATCTCTGATTGGGGAAATTTTACAATCAGTGAAATTCTGTGGATTAGAGATGTTTGTAAAATGTGTATAAGAAACAAAGTTCAATAAGGCATTTGATATAACTTACCAAAATGTAACATGATTGCCTTAAAAACTTATTTAAATTAGACTACAAACTTAGAATATGTTAATGTTTAAACTTTGTAATAGTAAACTGTTTAGCAGTTAACAGAAGTTTAAAAGTGTCTAGATTTAAGTATGTCTGAACTGTCTTGGTTGAATAATAAAGAGATGAAGGAAAAAGTCAACTTTTGAATGAGATGGAATGAAATTTATTCATATTTAATGCTTCTATTTATCATATTATTGGGAGGGATCATTATCTATTGTTAAGACACCTCAGTTTTCCTTAGGAGGTTAGTGTCCAAGTTTGTTGAAAAGGAGTTATCAGTGAAGGAGAATGATAAATTTAATGCAGATTCATTTTTATAAAATTTTTAAGCAAATACCTTTCGGTCTATTGTCTTGTAAAATGTAGGAAGTACTTAAACAATTTTTATGTACTTTTAGTAATATAATTTTGGAAATTGCTGCACAATCTGTGGCTTTCAAGATAGTAAGAGACCACTTGTTCTGGTCTGTGGTATTTCATGATTGTTCTGTTGATAATACCAGATAATTTTTGTAATATATATGGTGTATGGGTTTATTGGCCAGGCAGGTGGCTCACACCTGTAATCCCAGCAGCTTAGTAGACCAAGGGGGGAGAATCACTTGACGCCAGGAGTTCAAGACCAACCTGGGCAACATAGTTAGATTCCTTAGCCACTTGGGAGACTGAGGTGGGAAGATCACTTGAGACCAGGAGTTTGAGATTGCACGAGTTTGAGGCTATGATCGTGCCACTGCACTCTAGCCTGGGTGAAGAGCAAAAGAATTTACTTAGTTTGGGCAGCAGTTTTCATATTCAGTTCCTGTACATCCTATTCCCCCCTCCTTTTTTTTTTTTTTTTTGGTGGCTTACAAATGTCTGAATAAATAGAGAAGGATTGCTGACAATAGGGAATAGAGAATAAAGGTAATTTAAGTAAAGATAACAAGAATTCAGAATCATTAAGGTTTTTCCTAGTTATTATTTCCTTGGAACAATTTAAATATTTATTCAGTGTTTTACCTTTACTGTGTAGGAAACCAGAATTTGCTGCCCCAAAGAATGATGGATTGTTGAGCACAACAGAAGCAGCAAATGCAGGAAAGCTCTCTGTCCTCCCCCTATTTGCCAAAGAGCAGGACATAAATTTACAATGACAAAAAGTACCTTGCCTACCTACCTACCTAGCAGACAGAACAAAAATTAACCACTGAAAACAACTTTACACTCTTACAGGCACAGAGATGATACTAGAGGAATCTGTATTAACAAGCCTTTACTAGCTAGCCTTTATGTGCAGTTTACTGCCTTCTGCCAAGGTGCTGTCCCTAAAGGCTCAAAAGTCCTTTCCTAAGTTTTCTCTAAATAAATATTTGCTGGGTTTTCTTTGAGACAGGGTCTCTGTTGCCCAGGCTGGAGTGCAGTGGTGTGATCACAGCTCACTGTAGCCTTGACTTTCCTGGGCTCAGGTGATTGAGCCTGAGCCCACCTCAGCCTCAGCCTCCTGAGTAACTGGGATTACAGGCACACACCACCATGCCCAGCTAGTGTGTGTGTGTGTGTGTGTGTGTGTGTGTGTGTGTTGGTGGAGACAGGGTTTTTCTATGTTCCCCAGGCTAGTCTGGAACTCTGGGCTCAAGTGATTTACCCACCTTGGCTTCCCAAAGTGCTGGGATTACAGACGTGAGCCACCATGCCTGTCCTGCTGTTCTTTGTTGAAGATGATATATAAACTGAAATTCAAAGCCACCTCTTTGAAAACTACTCATTCTCAGTATCTCATGTATATGTGAAATAATAAGCTTCTCTTTTTCTCTTAATTTGTCTATTACAACAGGTTAACTCCAACTAAGAACCTATGGGGGTTATTCTTCCCTTATATCTATAATTAACATTTTCTGTGAAATCATGCATATCTTATTTGAATAATAAAAGCCATAGCATACATTTGGTATTGTTAGGCATTTTATATTCATTTTCTCATATAATCACAATTCTTGTTTCTATATAAAACTAAGACTCAGATGCTAGATAACTTGCTCAAAGTAATGTAGCCAATGAGTGATACAGTCTAAATCAAAGTCCATATGTTCGTTGTTATGCCAACCTAGCACCTTGATATAACCAATGACTATCATTTTCTTGAATTGCTTTTTATAGTACCTTAAAATTATTTCTTAAAAAAATTTCAGGCGGGGGGAAGTGGTGCAGGCTTATAATCCTGCACTTTGTGAGCCTGAAAAGAAAAAAACTGTGTACATACGATAAAGCTTTCCTAATTTTGTACCAATGAGGAGTTTGCAGTGTGTCTTACTTGTGGAAAATCTATGGCAAAATTGTCTAGAAATTAACTGTAAAATAGTCAATATTCAATTTAATATTTAAGCTATTTGCTCACCAGCTCAATGCCTCAGTTCTATCTGAGGGGACTGATCATAAATGCAGCACTTTTGCGTGCGTGCGTGCGTGTGTGTGTGTGTGTGTTGTGTGTGGTATTGCAGTTTCAGCAAAAGGCTTT